TCTGCAAACACCCTCACAAATACACCAGAAATAGCATTTTACTAGCTGTCTGGACATCCCTTAGCTCAGCCAGGTTGATGCATAAAATTTACCAGCCTTCAGACTTCTCTATTTTTGTTTCTTTGCCATACCTTCATCTTTATGACCCTTCACTGTTGGCCAGTTTTTTCTTGGATTAGCCATTTTTGAAAATGTTATGTTATCACTGGAAGAAAAGGAAAAAGCACAACTACATGGTTTGCTGCCGGTGTGTCAACTGAAAAAAAGATGTGTGGTGACCAATCACCAATGTACATTAAAAGAAGTGACATAATTGGTCACCGATTATAGTGAGCCTCTGGTATACATGTAGCAATTTATGGGTTGAAGGTCTAGCAGTGCAGTTTCTCCTTTATGCAATTATTCACAGGTCGTATACCACAGCAGCTGATGTCAGAACTGTGTTGTTGGAGGCCTGGTGTCATTGAGCTAAACAGTGGTAACTGAAATCTGTGCAATATAGGAACTGTGCTGAGCAAGGATGGGCTGATTACTAATAGGACCACTTTCTTGCTTCTCTTTCTATTTTTAGTGCATCTAATTCATCTGACATTTAACTGATCCAGATTTTCTTCCACTCTGACTCATCTAATGACTAATACTCTACTCATCTAATCGCTCAAGGACCTCACAATATCTTACATGTAGTTTTCACCTAAACCTGGCTATAACCATTATAGTCATCTTCCTGGTCATAGTAGGCACCTATACTATAGTTATATCCTAAGATTTCATCTCTGTTGAGCTCCAGAGGGTAATATGTGCTCTTTGTTTTGTTTTTGTTTTTGTTTTTACTGGATTCAACTTTATTCAGTGAGTATGTTCAGTAATTTAATAGGTGTTCTTTAACCCTCCACAGGATTAGGGAATTGAGGCTGCCTTGTTACTGCTGTTCACAATAAACTTCCATAGGAAGTAATTTACAAGACTCTAGACCTTTGTCAACGCTGAACTTTCTGGGCATCTTGTCTGAGTGATGTATCTTCAGTGAAGTGAAGCCTAAGAGCTGTCCTTTCTGCTTCCTTGACCTTTTTCACAAGCTAGTTCTCCAAATATCCCCACATCTGGGAGACCGACTAGCTCCCAAGTTGGAAAACAGAGTTCTCAGACTTGTTGCTTTGAAGGTGACACCAACAGAGGCACCCTTACCTGATGTTCTATCTGCTAACTCCCAAATCAGAGTCTGGAAAGAGCAATCTTGCCTTGCTTACTTAGTCAAGGGTACCTCTCTGCTTGGTACTGCTATAGAGGGATATAAATGCCTCTTGTTCACCGTTGACTTCAGTAACTGGGAAACAGGACAATATCTTTACATTTTTCTTTGTATGTAACACAAAACTCCTGCAAAAGAATAAGAGTTAAACAGGCAGAGGCTGTTCAGCTTTTTTATTCTGAGCCCCCAAAGAAAAGCCTATAGTGTCAAGCTGGGCAGAAGTTTGACCCATAGTGTATAATGGAAGTAATGTCATGTGCCCTCCAAGGCTAGATGATAAGAACACCTCACACTTCTGCCTTTCCTACTTAGGACATTTTTTTCTTGTAACCCAGCTGCTATACATGCTATAAGGAGAACAGAATAACCCATGTGCAGTGGCTGTGCAGAGGCAATTTGGCCAGTAATCCATCTGAGGTCCCAGCCAATAATCAGCAACAACTACCAGGCGTATAAATGAAGATGCATGCAGATGATTCCTGCTCCAAGCTGCTGTCACACTTAATCTTTGAGTCTTCCAAGCAAATGTCTCAGATGTGGCCATAGCAGACATATAAGTCTGCCCTGTGTCCAAACTAAATTCCTGAACCATAAAATCTGGGAATACAAATGTCATTATTTTAATACAATCATATGCCACTGAGATTGGGGTGGTTTGTTATGGAGCAATTATAACTGGAACAAGAACACTTGACCTTGAAGACACTTGATATTATATGAGATCAGTAAAGTATCTTTTCTTATCTGCACTTTCTATCATAACCACAATGTATATGGATAATTTGTTTAGTCAATAAGGACATGGTGAATGACTGATTCCATGTAGATGGGAGAGGGAAGGGTATGCTGCATAGGTTTCATGTCCTTAGATGCTAGTGAGAAGAGGCTGTATCATATTAATTGTTCCCTTCTCTCACTCATAATAGCACTGGTAGCACATTATCTTTTCTTGTGACAGTGTTGCATTAAGCTTTTTTAGAAGTGGCCCCAAACTGTAACAGAATGCGTTGTGATAATTTCCTACCTTCATCAAGTACTGCCAAGATGTAGATGTCTTACATTTTGTAGACAAATGGTTAATCCTGGAGGGGCCTATTTTTATTTTTTTTGGTTTTTTTTTTTTTTTTTTTTTTTTTTTTTTGAGACAGGGTCACACTCTGCTGCCCAGGCTGTAGTGCAGTGGTACAACCACAGCTCACTGATGCCTTGACCTTCTGGGCTCAAGTGATCCTTCCACCTCAGCCTCCTGGGTAGCTGGGACTACAGGCATGCATCACAAAGGTAGCTGGGTAGCTGGTTAATCTTTTGTAGTTTTTCATAGAGATGGGTTTCTCCATGTTGCCCAGGCTGGTCTTGAACTCTTGAGTTCAAGCTGTCTACCCACTTCAGCCTCCCAAAGTGAGCCACCTTTCATCTCCCCAGCTCGTCTTCTGACTCCACGCTTGAACTGATGTATTTAAAGATCAGGGACCTTTCTGACCAATGTCATATGAGCCATCCAGATGGTTCTGGCTCTCAGAGGGATCAGAAGCAAGAAAGGATCAATTCAATGACCAGGTCACCAAACAAGGCCAAAACATTGGTGTCAAGGAATAAGCCAATTGCAGACATAAGTACCTGCACCAGAAGTTACTTGTTTCACCTACTTGAATTCAACACATCATTGCCACTAGGCAATTATAAAATCTTAAGTTATCTTCAGCATGCGAGTGCACCTTACTCTTCCATCCTCAGGTGGGTGGGGGAAGCATTTGCCGTTTTCAGAGCAAATTCATCTGGGTTAGCAGGAAGCCCTAACAGAAAGTAAATTCTATAGTCAAGTCTCTCAACCATTAAATTTTAGGATTATATTCTGATGGTAATTCTTAGAGAAAAGAAAGAAGTGAAGTTTCACTTTAGAAGATACATTAGAGGACAAACTGTTACTTCCTGTCTTCTTATGATCTTTTTTTCATTAAATAAATTTATTTGTTAAAGTAATTTAACTCCAAATACAACCGTTGAATTTGCATTGAGTTATGGCTACAATTCATGTTTTAATTGAAATGTCAAGATTTAACAACTGACATTGTTACAAAACAATAAACTCTTGTTCAATTTTAAATGGTCAGTTGTATTAGAGCACAACAATTAACTGTGAACTATATCTCTGGGAAACCTCAAATCAATAATGATAAGTCTGTTTCCAAAACCCACTGCAGTCATTCTTGAAACTCTGATCAAGATTTAATAGATGCACAATGACATGTTAAATTTAAAAAAAAAAAAAACCCATAGTCCTTAAAGTTTGATTGGCTGAGGGACAATTAAAGCTTACCCAGTGCTAACAAAGACTACTGATAAGAACAAAAATGTAAAAAAAAAAAAATACACACAAACAAAAACCAGCAACAAACAAAGCACTTTCATATTCATACATACACTGACAACATTAACATTCATACTGGAAAACCCTTAAAAACAAATACCAGACAGCCTTAGGCAACATTTCTTTATACAGAAAGCAAATATCAGTAGTATTACCACCGAAAAGTGAGGGCAACTGTAGCAATTTGAGTCAAAAGTTCAGTCCTAATTCTACAAACCAAAGGAGAACATCATCAAAGCACCTTTCAATAGTTAAAGAAAAGATTTTATGTAATACTTTTGATCAGATGCTGGCTTGTTTTGTGAAAGTTGAACAAAATGAAAGGCATCAATTACCATCACTATCACAGTTTAAAAAACCCAAAAGGTGCAACAGCAAAAGAAAACAAATTTTAAAGATGCTGCCTTTGTATAAAAGTAAAAAATAAAAGAAAATCTTGTCACAAGAGCTAAAGAAAAAGTGGGTCTTTGGATCAAACCACAATTTTTTTTTCTTTTTTGAGACAGAGTTTCGCTCTTGTTTCCCAGGCTGGAGTGCAATGGTACGATCTTGGCTCACCGCAACCTCCGCCTCCTGGGTTCAGGCAATTCTCCTGCCTCAGCCTCCCGAGTAGCTGGGATTACAGGCATGCGCCACCATATTCAGCTAATTTTTTGTATCTTTAGTAGAGACGGGGTTTCACCATGTTGACCAGGATGGTCTCGATCTCCTGACCTCGCGATCCACCCGCCTCAGCCTCCCAAAGTGCTGGGATTACAGGCTTGAGCCACCACGTCCGGCCAAACCATAATATTTTTAAGGCATGTTAGAAAAACTTTCACTTATCTAAGTTGCTAGTCTGATCAGGGCATAAAATAGTGACCCAAGTCAGCTTTCTTCTGTAGCCACTAAGGTTTCTTCTGTAGCCAACAGATGTAATCTTCCTGTTCTAAAGCATTTTATTACTATAATATCTCAACAAACACATTCATTTGCCAGCTGAGTTATATTCACACCAGATGAATACAAATTTCCAGTTTCAGGATGTCCTTGATGCCTTGGTCACTAAATATGCAGGGCTGCAGGGACACTGATCAGGCAGCCAGATGGGTTATTATTCACGTCTTTACAGTAAAAGCCAACCTTGTCATATGGCACACGTTTTTAACTAGTAATACAACTCAGAATTGTAGATCATCTTTTCCACTTGACATTCTCCCATACCTTTCATATTATTTAACCTATTTTCATGTCATAGCAAACCATCATGTCAAACTATGGGATCTTTATAGGTATTTTTATTTTGCAATCTTACTTTCAAAAATTTCTATTAATTATAGAATTCTAAAGAAAGAATCATTCTGAGAAGTGAGAGGATTCAGAACTCAACCAACTCAGAAATACTTTTATTTCAGTAGAGAAACTGTATCTCTTGAATCTCCAATTTCTCTGCGTTTGAATCAAACCAACTTTTACACAGTGAAATTTGTTTCAATAAAATTGGTTAAAATTTTTTGTCCTATAAACAAGGTGTTTCATAATTGAGGATTATAAAAAATTATACTGAAGAATGTAAACATTCAAAATTCAAAGATTTTTGACAACTCTGGCCAGCTTTCATTCACATGTGCCTTCAGCTTTCTCATGATGAAAAATACTATCAACCTTTTTTCCTTCATCCTTTAAGCTTAATGCCAGTTATTAAACACTTGGGGGGCTACCAATGATTTCAAAATAGTATAAAAGACACTTTAATAATTTAAAAGAAAAAAAGCTTTTGATACACTATATTCTGCAGTATAGATTCTTAGTATAGGCAATTATCTCTGACTTGTGCCAAATTCTTAGGAACAATAAACACACATGCACACACACACACTCTCCTCTCAGTTACACACATAAGACCAGAGGTTATTTGCACAAGACTGTGAAACCAACAAAATGTGGGGTGGCATATAGATCGCAGGCTCAGTGATACTGCAGTTCTGAAGGCCAAGTTCTTCTCCCAAGGCCCAGCTCAAGATAATCTTTTCAGCATTTATAACTGAAGTTAGCTGAAGACCTTTCTATACTTGATTGTAAAACTTATGAATAGGTTTTTCCTGTGCCATTAGTCATGCAAATGATAAATACTTCACGGCTGTAAAAACCAAATATGTCAGAGTTTGAGCACATTTTCAAAACAAAATATTCACTCCAGCTTTATTTGATACTTCAGTAATCCGGGCTAAATTGTTCTAAGAAAACCTTTATATAATTCTCCAGGAAAAATTAAAGATAAAAGGCTTTTGTCCTTTACCTTCCACTCTATAATTTATGTTCTATTTTTAAGCTCCAATTATTTCACATGGTTATTCCATTTTTAAAATGCCTGCAATAAAGCTCTGCCACAGCAAACTTGATTTGGAAAGCAGGTTAGCTACTGGTCACACTACAACCATAGCCCTTAGAGGCGAGAAGGAATTTGCTGCTTTAACGAACTTAAAAATGCCAGATATTCGTATTGTCCTGTGAGGTTTCTGCAAACGGGAACATGTGGATGCAACATGGCTTCATTTTCCTTACATGATGGTACTAGTGTATCTATTAGAATGCTTCTTGTTAGTAAGGCTGGGCACTCTCTTCCCATCACAGTTGCTTCCCTCTTATTCAGTAAAGTTATAAAGACCACCCCTGTTTAGTTAAAAGGGGTGGGTCTGGAGTTTAATTCTGATCAAAACCTTGTGAAAGCCTCCATTTTCTGTGGCAAAGCAGGTGATTTAACAAATTCTAAAGCTAGACTGTATTTTTATATAACCTGTTCTGACTTTTGCTCTATCAAGGATTGAAGCATGAGTTAGTTCCATGTCACAAATTAGAATAACAGCTACAATTAAGCATCAATTTTGAAAAACAGAAATGTATTAGCTGAGCAAAGAATCTCTCCCTGTAATGCTGTTGGCAAGTCAACTGTTCTTATCTTACTTGATACATTGTTTAGAAGCTCTATCCCATTTCCTGAAATTCAGTACTCTTGTGGGAAAATATTTCTCCTTTACTTATTTTTTTAAAGAAGACAAAATATTTTAATTGTAAGTGGTCATAGGAATCTTCTGGTTTCTCCCTTATGGTTATTTTTAATGTATACAATAGTTGCTTCTGTCAACTCAGCGACAATGCCATCATAGCTTTCAAATGAGATCACCCTGTAGATCGATGGACTATGCCTTAAAGTTGCAGATGCAGAAAGGAGACTGAGGACAAATAGTGAAAACTGTAGTAACTGAACCCAAATGTTACTCAGAGATATCAACTGACAATCACTGCTCAATTCTGAATAAGGGCTGCAGTTCTCTGTAGATTAACACCACGCACCCTGTGTGTCCTGCAGAGGAGTAGGTGAGTTTTCTATCACCTACAACACTGGACTAATCCCATCCAGGACAGCCATATTTGGATGCTACTGCATGTTACATGCCGAACAGCATGGGTCATCTTTGTCAGGCTGAGCAGCATAGTTCATCTGCCTCACAATTTCTGCTAAGAGTTGGTCCACCACTGTTTTACTCTTAGCAGAAGTCTCCATAAAGGGGCAGCCCCATTCTTCAGCAAGAGCTCTGCCTTCATTGGACGATACTTCTCTCTCACTTTCCAGGTCCACTTTGTTCCCAACCAAGATGACTGGCACTTTCTCATACCGCCTCACGCGGATGATCTGGTCCCGCATGGGCTTGATGTCCTGGAAGCTCTGCTGGTTGACCAGGCTGTAGATGAGGATGAAGCCCTGGCCGTTCCTGATGTACAGGTCCCGCATGGACGCGAACTGCTCGGTGCCCGCCGTGTCCAGGATCTCCAGCACCGACGGCGACGAGTCCACCTCGATCTCCTTGTGGTAGAAGTCCTCAACGGTGGGGTCGTATTTCTCGATGAAGGTGCCAGTCACGAACTGCACGGTCAGGGTGGATTTGCCTACCCCGCCCGAGCCCAGCACCACCACTTTGTCCTCGCTCATCGTCCCTCTGCTGCCGCTGCCGCCGCCCGCGACATAGACCTACGCCGGCCACGCTGCGCCCCCAGTCCCGGCCCCGGCGGCCCCCTGGGAGGTGGCGGTGGCGGCGGCGGCGGCGGCAGCTGAGGGAGCAGAGGCCCTAGGCATGGGCAGAGCCAGGCGACGATGCGGCCTCGTGGGTGCCAGCTGGGACTGAGGGCGAGCTAGAAGCGGGAGCGGGAGCCGCTGGAGCCGGCCGAGCCACGGGCCGCAGTCCTGTCTTCTTATAATCTTAAAAGAGATAGTCTCTAAAAATCTTTTTACAAAGTTGTCTTGACTATCTTGGCATGAAATAGCTGGAGATTAAAGGGAGAAATGTCAAGGCCCTGGGAGGAATAAGAAAAAAAAAGAAAGAAACTAACCAGAATTAGATCTTTGTTACATGAGGAGCCAAAACCAGAAAGCTTTATACAAGGTTTTGTGTCTCAGCAGGAAGTATTGCCCTTATACCATAGAAGGCCATTGCAATCACTTGGTATCAGTAACAAGTGCATTATGGCCAGAACACCTAGGACCTGTTCTTCTAGACTTTAGATGTGAGTTCTTCTCACAAATCTCAAATGCATGTTCATTCTGAACACTGGCTGGTTTTTTGACCCTTTTGCTGAACTGAAAGGGTTATGTAGCTATAGTAAGACTGGAACTAGTTCCTGAAACATCCCTCAGTGTCAGGGGAAGCAGCAATGGAGGAAGGGTTTACAGTGTGCCTACATAAACTGCTTATAAGTAATGTATAAAGAAATCAGGAACAAACGGAGGCCTCTGGGGAAGAAGGCCTCTCTATTGCCAGCATGTTCCCAGGAACAGAGTGACCTAAGCTCTGATATTCTAAACGTAGTGCCCAAGGACATAACACTCCCTTGAAGCGCTGGAGTGTAATCAGACATGTAAGCTCCTTGCTAGGCCTGCTCCCACCGGCTGCACTGTCTATTGATAAGTATACACTTTTAGCTCTTGAGAAACTACATACACCACCACTGCTATCAATTTTATGTCTGATGCACAGCCTCCCTTCATCAATTCACCCTACCACCTGTACTATAGATAAAAGTGATTGTGTTCAATAAATATTGTGGAACCCAGAGCTCGGGGCCTTCACTGCCTCCATTACAAGTGATGGTCCCTGGTCCCACTTTCATTCTTAATTTTTTTTTCTCATTCCTTTGTCACCACCAAACTCGGGATACCCATGGGTGGGGTGTAGGGGCTGGATCCCTATACCTCAGAGTGGCCAAAATATTTTATTTATGATCATAAAGCAATTACAATTCACATTGCTTTCTGCAATAGAGCTTTCTTTTTGTTACACATGTGCCATGGTGGTTTGCTGCTCCCATCAACCCATCATCTACATTAGGTATTTCTAATGCTATTCCTTCCCTAGCCCCCAGCCCCCAATAGGCCCTGGTCTGTGATGTTCCCCTCCTTCTGTTCATGTGTGTTCTCATTGTTCAACTCCCACTTATGAGTGAGAACATGTGATCTATGTTTTTCTGTTCCTGTGTTAGTTTGCTCAGAACTATGGTTTCCAACTTCATCCATATCCTTGCAAACGACATGAACTCATCCTTTTTGATGGCTGTATAGTATTCCATGGTGTGTATGTGCCATGTTTTCTTTATCCAGTCTATCATTTATGGGCATTTGGGTTGGTTCCAAGTCTTTGCTATCGTGAATAAACATACATGTGCATGTGTCTTTGTAGTAGAATGATTATAATCCTTTGGGTATATACCCAGTAATGGGATTGCTGGGTCAAATTGTATTTCTGGTTCTAGATCCTTGAGGAATCACCACACTGTCTCCCACCAACAGGGTAAAAGCATTCCTATTTCTCCATACCCTCTTCAGCAACTGTTGTTTTCTGAATTTTTAATGATTGCCATTCTAACTGGCATGAGATGGTATCTCATTGTGGTTTTGATTTTTTTTAAAATTCTACATTAAACATCTTAAGAATGAATTACTAAAAGATTTCTGTTGGTAAGAGAAAAAGCATGATTACTTTCACTGAGAATATTCAGTACGATTTTGGTTTTATTCTCAGTGCAATATGACAAGAAAAATAAGATATACATATTAGAATTATACATCAATGATACAGCCACTATGTCATTTTCAGAAAATTAAAAATGAATAAAAACAATGAGTTAAAAGGACAGATAAAAGATAAAATGAAACTCAAAAGAATTCTCATGGGATAGCATTAGGAGAAATACCTAATGTAGATGACAGGCTGATGGGTGCAGCAAACCACCATGGCACATGTGTACCTATGCAACAAAAAGAAAGCTCTATTACAGAAAGCAATGTGAATTGTAATTGCTTTATGATCATAAAGACATTAATCAAATTAAATTTGTAAAAGCAAAAAGCTTCTATTAACTTCAGTGCTTGACTTCAGAGTTCTTCTAGAAGAAAAATGTGTATGAATGCCTTATATTAGATAAGAATGCAAAGAGATTTTCTCTACTATGTATCAAAAAATGTAAAGCTAATCAAAAGAAAAGTTAAAGGCCAACTATACTATAAATATTGATTAAAATAATTACAAAGAACTTCTGCAGTGGAAAAGTAGCCAAAGCATTTGAACAGACAAGTCACAAAAAAAAAGAAAGAAAAGTAGGCTCTTCAAATGAAAAGCTGCTCTCCTTTCTTACCACGACCAGAATGTGAAAAAGAAAATTAGGGTTTAATCGGTTGGGTCCTTTGTTTTGTTTTTCTTTTACATATAAGAGGCTTAGCAACTTCACCCCAGTATCTTTAAGATAGAAATATCACTTATATCAGTGGTAACATAATTTTTGAGCAATAAACTTGGGCTGTATCTACAGTTTAAAGTGTACTTAGTTTTTTCATTTGTTTGTTTGAGATGCAGTTTTGCTCTTGTTGCCCAGGCTGGAGTGCAATGGCACAATCTCGGCTCACTGCAACCTCTGCCTCCTGGATTCAAGCGATTTTCCTGCCTCAGCCTCCCCAGTAGCATGCCCAGCTAACTTTTGTATTTTTAGTAGAGATGGGGTTTTGCCATATTGGCTAGTCTGGTCTCGAACTCCTGACCTTGTGATTCACCTGCCTTGGCCTCTCAAAGTGATGGGATTACAGGCATGAGCCATGGTGCCTGGCCAAAAGTGTTCTTCGTTTTTGACCTAGCAATTCCACCTGTAGATTTTTTTTTTCTACAAAATAGACATATAAAAAGATAAAAGATATAAGGTACAATGTTCACTGCTATACGGTATGCAATAGCAAAAATTGGAAACTAACTCATATGGTACAATTTATTTCCATTATGAGTGGTAGAAAAACCATCGTGGCTCTTGTTGAAGCCCGGATAGGCAGTCTAAGGTAAATGTAACACTTGATTATATCAGGTCCTGGATTCCTTCTGTCTTGTGGCCACCGTATGAGCCACAACCCCAAAGTGGAAGATGGCGGCATGTGTTTATAGGCAGCAATGAGGAAGGGAGATACGAAAGCAAAGTGCATCTCTTTAGGAAAGATCTCGGAATCTGCCATGCCATATTTCTACCTACAGCCTGTTATTGAGAACTGAGGAAGGTGGGTGCACCTGTGTTGGTCATCTTTTTTTTCGGGCAGCCATCTGCCTAGCTTAAAATGTGGAGGATCTATTACCACAGAAGAAAGGGAGAATGAATTGTAGCAAACAACTAGTGGTTTCTGCCACGTGACTAAATGACCAACTGGGAAACATCACAAGACATCATACAGTTAAATTCTATGCAGTTGTTACAGACTCAGGCAACTCTGCGTGAACTGGCACGTGAACTTCCTGCAAAACAGGGTGTTCATTAAAGTTTATTAAAAGTGTGCAAAAAGCCTGCATATGTCCACCAAAAGACATGTAAAAATGTTTATTCCTCCATTATTTATAATATCTCAAATTTTGAAATGCCACAATTGTTCACCAGAGGTACAATGGTTAAGTAAAGTGTAGTGTATTTATCTAGTAAAATGCCATAAGTTATGGGAATGAACAAAGTTTTGCCACATACAATAATATGGATGACTTCTAATGTACGGCAAAAGAAGACAGGCACAGAACATGTAATCTACAATTTCACATTGGGGGAAGCAGCAAAGGAGAAAGGACTTACAGAGTGCCTACATAAATTGGTTACAAATAGCATATAAACAAGGAACAATAAATTGCGGCAAGCCTCTGGGGAAGCAAACTTCTCCATGCCTCATATTCTGGTGCAGGGTGACCCAGGCTCTGTTACCATAAACATTGCGCTCAAGGACGTAAAATCCCTTCATAGCACTAAGATGTAACCAGACTTGTAGGCTCCTTGCAAGGCCCTCATTCCACCAGCTGTATATACCGATAACAGGCTAAAGATAACCGCCATGTTCGTTCTTATTTTGTGAAACTCCCAAACCACCACTGTTATCAGTCTTCAGAATGACACACCAGTTCCGGCTCACTGATTCACTCCACCATCACGTCACCCTCTCCCCACCCATCACTCCACCCCTACCCCGTAGATCAAAGTGATTGTAAACAATAAATAGTGTGAGAGATCAGAGTCCAGGGCCTTCACTGCCTCCAGTAAAAAGTGATGGTCTCCTCGTCCCACTTTCATTCTTCTTTAAAATTTGTCCAAAGAAACAAAAGAATCAACTCACTTTCACTCTTACTCTGTCTTTTTCTCATTCCTTTGTCGCCACTGAACTCGGGGTACCCACGGGTGGGGTGTGGGGCTGGTTCCCTACAACCTACATAAACTCCAAAAACAAGTAAAATTAAGCTACAGTGCTAGAAAGTAGAATAAAGTCAAAGAATGCTTGTGGCAGGAAAGGAAAATAGAATGAAGGAGACTTCCAAAGGTCTGCTAATGTTCTATTTCTCAAACTGAGTGCTGGGTTTTTGGGCATATTCACTTTGTAAAAATTCATCACGTTACACACTTGTGGTCTGTGCAATTTGTTGTATGGATGTTACACTTCAGTAAGATCGCAGAAGCCTCCCTCATCTAGCTGAGGGACTGACAGTCATTCTCAAAATGGAAGGTGGGCTCTCATGACTGGACAGAGATCCTCACTGCAAGCTGCTACACAGGGAGCAGGTGAGTGGCTTCTGGTCACCAAGGGCAGCTGTGTCACCTAGACATAAAGGCAGAACCCAGGTGAGAGCATCAGCAGGACAATGCTGTCTTACTTCCTGAGGTTCTGTGCTTGCAATCACAGAAATTGAT